CACTGTCTCCATAGCCACCTCAGTGCTGGACGCCTCTAGGGCCTCGAGGGGGCTCTTCCGCCCTGCCCAGTCCCCCCTGGGAGAGCTCATGGCCAGAGGTGACCCTTACTCTTGTGTCCGTGCTCCTTACTGGGTCTGGGAGCACATCTGGGGAGTCATGGTGGGGCCCTCAGGAGCAGTGCCCCTCACAGCTGAAGCCTGGGGCCGCTAAGTGCCCTCCCAGGCTCATCCTGTTTGACGTCTACATGGAAGGACAAGCATTTGGTGTTCTGAGGCTTGCACGAGGTCACTGGGCAGTCCTCGCTTTTGTTGGTCTTGGTGCACTGGTAGCATTGTAAACTCACACCTGGGGGCGTGCGGGTGTGAGGGGGTCAAGATCACAAGGCTCATTGTGGCCACCCCCGGGGTGATGCAGCTCACACCAACCCAGTGCAGCCTGCACCCCAAGTGTGTCTTTGCTCTGAGCCAACAAACAAATCCCGTAAGTATGACTGCTATCCACACCTGTGGGTCCTCATGTCACCATAGCCCCACGCCCTGGCCCCCGCTCTGCCCTCAGCCTTATTTGTCTCTGACACACCACGGGTGACCACAGGATGAAGGCCAGGATGGGGTATTCATGACGGCAACAGTGGGGTCTGAGGGGTGTCAGAGAAAGAGCCTTCACCCAGAGCCCACACCTCATCTTCATCCTTACCCACCCTCCTCTCATCCCACTCCTAGGACACAGCCTTCATTTGCATCTGTCCTCCTGACCCTCTGATCCTTTGTCTCCATTTGGACTGCACCCCAGGGTCCCTTTTCTGGCCTCCTACTGAACCACTGCAGACCTGAGCCAGGCCCTGAAGGAGCTCGATGGAGCTGCTTCAGGAAGGCTTCCAGGCTTCTGAGCTAGCAGCCGGCAGAAGAGGTGCAGGCAGCCCAGGGAATGTCAGCCAATGTGTGGGTGGGGTGGGGGAGACACCTGCCTCCCCATCTGGGCCCACTCACCTGGACCCACCCTCCTCCACTCACTCACTTGGGCCTACTGACCTGGGCCCACCCATCTAGCTCCCCTGCCTCCCATTCTTCATGAGAGGGACTCTGACTCACAGGACACAGGGCCAAGGTCAGCCTGTGGAGGCAGAAGGACAAGATGAGAGAACAGTTTGTTTAATGCTCAAGGTTCATAAACCAAACACCTGATGGGCTCCTTCATCTTATCTGAGGGTAATTGAGTCCCCGCAGGGCACGTGCGCTCAGAGGTTGGACTCAGGCCTGAACCAGATCTCCCAGCACTTTGATTTGGGTCAGAATGTCCAGATGCTATCATCTCTGCAAGATCTTAAAGACCATATCCCCTGACTTTCATACAGTTAAGTTGGAAATTAATGACACAGAAGAAGATGGTTTTATCACAGATGTGAAAATTTATAAAACACATTTCAAATGACCACGCTCTCATCAAAGAAAACATCTTCAATGTGTGTTTGTTACTACGTAGAAGAGATGAATGAGGAATATAGTCCTTCTCAGAATGTTAAGGGTGCAGCTAAGGGGCTTGTGTGGTGTTGGGGCCCTTACGTCCTTACAGCAAAGCAGAAGCAAAAGTAATGTTTGGTTGAGGGGTTTATTATTTCTTTAAATGCTCATTTTGAAATAAGTTCATTCTATTAAAAGCTGCAAGAACAGTACAAGAAGTATTATGTCCCCTTTACACAGGTCCCCCACGTGTTAGCACCTCATTCACCTTGTCATTAAGCACCATCAAGTCGGTTCCGACTCATAGTGACCCTGTATTGGGTTTCTGAGGAGCAGCTGGTGAGTTAGAAAAAGCAAACAAAACCCAAACCTATGGCAGTCTAGTAGCTTCCGAATCCCGGTGGCCCATGCGTCACATGGTCCAACTGCTTGGCTGTAGTCCTTAAACAAGGAGCCCTGGCAGGGTGAAGGTCAAGTGCCCGGTTGCTAACCACAAGGTTGGCGGTTCAAAGCCATCCAGCAGCTCCGCAGGAGAAAGAGCTGGCAAGCTGTTACAGCCTAGGAAACCATCAGGGGCAGATGTGTTTATGGGATCGTTACAAGTAAAAACGGACTTGGTGGCACCTATCAACAAGGACAAATCTTTGCAGCGAAGTTCCTGGGTGGCACAAAGGTTAAGTGCTTGGCTACTGGCTGAAAGATGGGTGGTTCAAATCTACTCAGAGGTGATTAGGAATACAGGCCTGGAAATCTGCTTCCAAAAGATCACAGTCTTGGAACCCCAAGGAAGCCCACCTCTGTTGCACACGGGGGGTCATCATATGTCAGAACCAACACCCTAACAACGCAGATCACCAGGGCGTTTTAAGTGGCGCGGATGTGGGTTCCCATTGCCAACCTCTGGGTTATTTTGTTGTTGATAAGTGCCATTGAGTCGGTTCTGACTCCCAGAGACTCTGTATAAGATTTCCAAGGAGTGGCTGGTGAGCTTGAACTACCAACCATGTGGTTCAAACTGACTTTGCAGTCCAGCATATTATCCATCTATGACACCTAAAATTCATGAAATTTATATTACTACAACCCCACTCTCTAACTCTGCAGAATTTATTTAGACTTCACCAGCTACTGCATTGAAGAGTATATGACCTTGGAAACAAGTGGATTCTGCAAAAAAAAAGGAAAAGAAACTATAGTCTAGTGGATAAGGCTGTTTCCCTGGGTGTATGGGTCAATGGTTCTGAGACCATTATTCATGCAAACTGGAAATGAGCAATTAAACTAATGGATGGAGCATGATGGAATCCAAGTTTCTCACATAGTGGTTACGAGTCGGGCTGACAACCTCAAGGTCAGCAGTTCAAAACTACCAGCAGTTCTGTGGGAGAAAGATGAGGCTTTCTGCTCCCATGAAGATTTACAGCCTCAGAAACCCTGTGCAGGTTCGCTATGAGTCGGAACCGACTCCATGGTACTTAACAACAACAACTGTTGAAGAAGGAGGTTGCAGATAAGCAAGGGAGGATCTGTGTGGTGTAATCTCTGTGTTGTTGTTGTTGTTAAGTGCCGTCGAGTCAGTTCTGACCCATAGCAACCCTATATAGGGTTTCCGAAAAGCAGCTGGTGAGCTTGAATCGCCGTCCTTGTGGTTCAAACTGACTTTGCAGTGCAGCGCATCATGCAGTAATGGGTTAGTTAGAAACAACAATGTGAACTCATGGTTAGCTTACTACAGTGACAGTTAAGCATATACGCACATGTAAGACACACACATGTAACACACACACATGTAATATACACATATGTAATATACACACATGTAACACACACATGTAATATACACACATGTAATATACACATATGTCTCTTTGTTTTGTCAACTGACAGGGTTTAGAAATAAAGGCACCCCAATATTGATGAACATATCTAGAATCCAGCCCTTGGTTTCTCACACCCTTCTCTTATAAAATAAGCCCGGGACCCTTGTGGTGGTGGTGATGTGCCGTGGAGTGGGTTTTGACTTACCGTGACCCTACATCAGGTTTTTTGAAGCTATAAAGCTTTACAGGAGCAAAAAGCCTCATCTTTCTCCTAGGGAACTGCTGACCTTGAAGTCAGCAGCCCTACTGTAAGCACTATACTGCCAGAGCTCCTTCAGGAATCCGTAGGGAAATAGTTAATTCTAGGCCTGGAGCAGGAAAATTACAAGATGAGCCTGGAACCTCTTAGAGAACCAGAAAGTAGGAGCATAATCAGAACCAACACAGAAGGGAAGTAATAAAGAGGCAGGCCAAGTGCGACGCAAACTGCAAGAGCTCCCAAGGGCCCAAACTGGAATATTTTCAATGATAAAATAAGCCATGAAGTTTTAAGTTATAACCTAAAGTATACAATGAATCCGTGCATATACAATGTAACAGGAGTGAGGAAGATTGGAAAAACTATGAAGTAATCCCAACAGTTAATGTAGCCGCTCTGCCCGCGAGGGGGTGGAGTCTAACTCCCCACTCCGTAAGCGTGGCTGTGCAAAGCGATTCCCTTCCAATGCGCACCTTGTGGAAAGGAAGGGGCAAGAGTCACTTCCCAGTGAAGAAACTTGGCCAGCATGACCTCAGCCAGGTGATCAAGGTCCACATCCACAGTGAGTCACTATTGTTGCTATGTTTGTCCCTTTTCAGGAACGGTCCCCTCTTGACCCCATGATCCTAGTAGGAGAGGTTCAGTCTTGCCATCTGTAAGGAGCACTCTGGCTGTACTCCTTCCAACGTAGATTTGTTTGTTCTTCTGGCATCCATTTATGTTCAATATTCTTTGCCAACACTCAGTCTTCCAAAGACACTCAGAGAGAACATGTGTCCACCACTCCTGGGTGTGAGTGGAGGAGGGCCAGCAGGCAGGGTCAACTGAGAAACAAAGGCTGGCTGGCTACAGAACCATGTCCACAAAGCACAAGTGTAAATCAGTCCTTAGAATGGAGCCCTGATGTTTCTGGGGTAGGTCTCCCCGAAAACCACCGGACATGTGTTGTTTTGTTGTTAAGTGTCATTGAGTCCCTCTGACCCTGCATAGGGTTTCTGAGGAGTGAGTTTGAACTGCAGACTCTGTGGTTTAAACTGAGCTTGTGGTCCAGTGCTGACAAATCGGTGCCGACTCACAGTGACCCTGTGCACAAGAGAACGAAACATTTGCCGATTCCATGCTGTCCTCACAAGTGGTGTTATGCTTGAGTCCATCACTGCTGCTAGGTGTCAGTCCATCTCTTAGGGGGCATTCTCTTTTCGCTGACCCTCCACTTTACCAAGCATAATGTCCTTCTCTGGGAACTGGTTCCTCCTGACAACATGTCCAAAGTGTGAGAAAGGAAGTCTCACCATACTTGTCTCCAGGACAGAGGTCCTGGACAAAACAGATGGCCAAGCACCCAACTACCAACTGAAAGGTGAGTGGTTCGAACCCAGGATCTTCTGTCTGGTGAGCTGCTTCCAAAAAGAGCCCATCCTCTATGGAGTAGTTGTATCCTGCATGGACAGTGGACAGCTCACCATGAGCTGGAATGGACTTGACTGTACCTCACAAGCATACCGACTTCTCTCTGACTCATTCACTGAGACCCGGAGCTGCCCACCTGCCCCGGGTTTGGGCTTCTTCCCATCCTTTCTCTCCTATGGGGGCTCAGACTTGAGGTCCACTGTTGATGTGGTCGTGTGGGGCTCAGGCACCCCAGAGAGTAGAGACAAAGTCACATTGCTCAGGCGGGATTGGGACAGTGACCTGGTGTTTTTTAAGGTTGGATGATTTGGGGAAGCTGAGTGGGTGGGAAAAGACAGGATTAGCGAGAACAGGACACCCGGGGGGCCAGCCCCCACTCTCAGCCACAGCAGGTGCATGCTCCCCCAGAACATCTCTTGTGTGAATGTGTGGTCCATGCAGCATCATCTGTCTTCATCTTTCCTTCATACACTATTTATTCTATATCATTATGTACCCATTTTCCAACAAAAAGATTTTCCAATAGAGGAGCAGTAGAAGCCGCACCTGAAGGCCTGGGGCTCCTGTCCAGAGGTGTGTGTGTGTGTGGGGGGGCACGGGTCCCAGCTCCAGAAAGATACCCACCTTCATGGACAGGGTGGCTGGGAGGCAGACTGGGAGCAGAGGCCATGGGGAGGTGACGAGGTAACACTGGCCCCGTAGAGGTTCTTTATGTACCAAGGGCTTTGAAAAGTTTCTGGAAAAATAGAATAGAAAGATAATGGAATTTTATATAAACTTTTGAAAGACCCCTCGTATTTCCCAGCCCCACTGGCTTTCACCACTGCTGTCTGGGTCCCCCGACATCCTCTTGCATGGAACGGAACCCCTCATGGGGAGGTGGGCCTGGACTGTGACCACCTAGGCTACATGAAAATCTACAAGACTGGGAGGGGGAGGCTGTGGAAATTCAGGGAGATTCCTGGGAGCAGAGGAGAGTCAGGGTTCAAGTCTGGGATCACCCAGCCCACCTTGGTCCATGGGGGAAAGATGACTGATGACTACAGCCCACCCACAGCCACCTGCATTCTGAATCACTGGCAGGCCAGTTCCCACCTCACGGTGTGCCCTGGGTGCCCCAATCCACCATGGGTCCCACCTGCCTCCTCTGAGCTCCGTACCCTCCAGGTCCTGCTCCCCCTGTGGGCTGCAGCTCCGAGCCTCCCTCACCCTTTCCCCGCATCTTCAGGACACTGCCCTCCAATCTCCTGAACCCCACGTGTCTGAAGATGCCATGCCCTCTAATTGACTGGACCCCACGTGTCTGAAGATGCCACGCCCTCCAATCGCCGGACCCCACATGTGTGTCTGAAGATGCCACGCCACCAATCTCCTGGACCCCACGTGTGTGAAGATGCCACGCCCTCCGAGAGCCCGTATCTTATCTAAGCCAGTGGTCCCTGTTCCTCCAATGCTACCTTGGCCTGGCAGTGACCCAGCCAGACGACCGACCCTGTGCCAACTTGGCAGGTGTGAGCTCAGCGGCCACGGCCCCAGAGGCCTTTTCTGAGAATGGCTGAGGAGAGGGGCTGGGGACAGGGAGAGGTAGCCGGAGCGGAAGCTGGGTGTAGATCCACCAAGGGGGCATTTTTATTGTGTCTTGGGGAGAGAGGCCGTGGTTCCACCCACAGGGTCCTGGGCAGAGCAGCCAGGGTGGGAGCTATCACCCCAGGTGGGGTGCCCGCACTCTCAGGATGCTCTGCAGACACGAGGTATGAGCAGGTGGCTGGAGGACAGGTATTGGGGACAGCCAGGAGCTCACAGCAGGGCCCAGAGTGGCAGCAGACCCCCGAGCAGGGCCCAGGGAGCCCCGTGTCTGGGGGCCGCCCTGTTGCAATAGTTCTTGGAGCAGCACTGTCTCCAAAGCTGGACGAATACGTTCTTCTGAGGTGACCATTCCTGATGGTTGTTGCTGGTGGTACAGCGGGGTGCACAGCGCTTGCTTATCTTAGTAAACTTCCTTGAATTGGCTGGAGAGAGGAAAGGGTGTGTGGGCCTGGAGCCAACAAGTGACCGCAAGGAGACCTAGCAGGTGGGACCCCAGACTCCAGAAAGGGATGGACAGTGTCTGCTCTGAGCCGCTGACCTGGCGAGGCTGCTGCCGTCAAGGTCACCTTCAAGCCTGGGGTCAGCACAGATGGGGTTCCAGAATGCTGGTCACGGGGTGGGGGAGGGGCTCACTTGGGGGTGTATGTTGGAGGTAACACGTAAGCAGAGCCAGAAGGGGTCAGCACACAGGGAACCTACTGGGTGCCCAGCCTCAGCCTCGGTGTCTCTGGACACATCAGAGATCCCTGAAGACCTAGCGGTGGGAGGTCTACTTTATCTTGTGTTGTGTTTCATTGTTAGGAGCCCTGATAGCGGAGTGGGTACTGTGTTGGGCTGTTAACTGCAAGATCAGAAGTTTGAATCCACCAGCCGCTTCATGGGAGAACGATGAAGTGTTCTGTTCTTGTGACGACTTACAGCCGGGAAAACCCGGTACGAGTGAGAACCAACTCCATGCCATGCAGCAGCAGCTTGCCACATTGTTGTTGTTTTGTGTCTTCCAGGGTGTCCCACGCAGAGCAACCCCATAGGACAGCTAGGCGTGCCCCATAGGGTGTGGAGCTGTAGGCTCAACACTGGACTGGTCACTCTAAGGACCTGTTACCAGCCACTCCTTGAAAACCCTATACAGGGCTGAATGCACGGGCCCCCACTGAGCAGCCGCCTCCCCCGGTCCCTTTCCCCATTGCTCAGGGGACAGGATTCACCCCAAAGGGGGGCTTTCCTGCCACAAACCCCACAAGGTTCAAAGCATGAGGCAGAGCCAAGTGTTGGTCTGTTCAGCAGGCCCTCTCCACTCTGCAGGGGGGGTCAGAAATGAGGGTCCACGAACTGAGAAGGATTGACCCAGGAGGAAATGAGAGCAAATCTAACTGTGCAGGCTCAGTTCTGTGAGAAAGGGGGTGGTCAGGGGACAAAGAAAGCACCCCAGGGTTGAGTGTGGGTCTGAAGCTACTGTGTCAGTCCTCGTGAGGACCGGGTGGGAGGGACAAACACGCTCATGTTGGCCATAGTGGGGAGTGGCCCCACTCCTGCTAGGAGGCAGTCGGGAGGCCCCTTGGCACCCATGGCAATATGTGGACGGTGCCATTTTGTTCTGACTTAGAGATGTCTCTAAGTCCCAGTGTGCCTATCTGGGCTTGGTGCCTGTGAAGTCAGGAGCTGTTCTGCAACTCTGTACAGGGCTGGGGACAGGGACCAGAAGCCAGAAAGCAGCCCCTCTGACCCAGCCTGCTGCCTCGGGTGGAAACTCCATCCCTCCACCCGGCCTCGCCCACTGCTCTCTGCTTTCCTACCCATTTCTAGTGGTTACCATGAGCGGCAGCAGGACAGGTGGCATTCAGGCATTCACGCTTCACTCTAACCTTCTGTAAGGTGTGGTCAGCCGTGGAGAGCACGTGCCCTGATGCAGCACAGGGCAGTGTCCTCTAAATGTCTTAGCAAGTCCCCACACCTGGCTGACCCTTCTGCCCACAACCCTTCATTTTCCTTCACGTCCTCATGGATAATCATCAGCCTCGGTCCTGCTGACCTTTTCAATACTAACAGTAATCCTAATCACAATTCCCCAAACCTGCTGCCGTTGAGTCAATCCCAACTCCTAGAGACCCTACAGGACAGAGGAGAAGCTGCCCGAGAGCTTCCAAGGCTGTGGTCTTTGTGGAAGCAGGCAGCCTTGTTTTTCTCCTGTGCAGCAGCTGGTGGGTTCGACCTTCAGACCTTTCAGGGAGCAGCTGAGCACGTAACTATTGTGCCAGTAGGTCTCTTCATTTAAATAGTGCCCCCTGTGAATTCACATCTACCTGGAACCTCAGAATCTTCCAGATGAGATGAGTTATGGGGAGGCCACACTGGGGTGGGAGTACCTTCAATGCAAGGTGACCAGTGTCCTTAGGGGAGGACACAGAGTCAGAGGACAGATGGTCATGTGGAGACAGAAGCAGAGAAAGTCCAGATGCTGGAAGAGGCTCAGAGGGGCCCCTCTAGCGTTATCAGCAAGAATGCAGACTTCCTCTTGGACATCAGGTGGCAGGGTAAATGTCTGCCGTCTCCCCACCCAGTTCCTGGGTAACCAGCCCACAGTGTCTGCTGCTGTTTGCTGTTGGGTTGGGTCCGACTCAGAGCAGCTCTGAACGGGGGTTCCGAGGAGTGATTGATGGGTTTGAAGGGCGGACCATGTGGTTAGCAGACCAGTGCTTATCCTACAGCGCCACACCTGGACTCTCACAGTATCTAGGCCATGGCATTAAGAACCGGTACTTCAAATGGAGGGAGATGGAGAAACCCAAGCTAGAACCCCAGGATACTTCCCTGGGGTTGGGTGGGAGGTACTTTGGGACAGAGATCTTCCCCCTCCAAAAAACCCCCACCCAGTCCTGCGCACAGCCCAGGGGTCCCCTCCTCCGGCCTTCCTAGTAGGCAGGGACTCACGGAGCGTTACGGTAATCTCATGAGAGATACAGACGGTGTCGTTGGGGGAACAGCGGATAGCTTCACAGGCTTGGTGGTCTGGGACTTTGAAGCACTTGTAGCAGATGAGTGTATCTGTGTGCAGTATGCAGGTCACAGTCAGGGCCAGGGTCCCGTGGACACATCCCACCAGTCACTGGCATGAGATACCTTGGACACAGAGACCAAAGGCCACCACCACCAAATGCGCTCAGAGCCTGAGGGGCTTTCGGAGAGCTGGCGGCTGCGCCCAGCTCCTTACCTGAGTGCGCCTTGGCCCTGCAGACTCCGGCAAATTCTGCAGACAGCAGCAAAGTCCACAGGCCTAGAACAAGTCTCTCCATGGTACCACAGGGTGGGCCTGAATAGGGGCTGCAGAGAGAGGCCCTGTCCAGAGCCCCCCAGCCCTGTGCAGCCTACCTCTAGTCCCTCCCCCTGGTCCCACCCCTCCATTTCCCCTTGGCATCCGCCTCCTAGACCCTCAGATCTTCATTTCAGCTTCCCTTCTATCTCTTCGTCCACCACCCAAACCCCTCTCTGTACCTTCCCCCACCAGACTGCCAGGAAGCAGAAAGGGATCAGGGAGGGAAGGGTGGGCGTTGTTAGCAGCCTGCATCAGCTCCAGCTCTGAGAAAGGCCTCTTGGGGTCCCCGATCCCTGAGGACTGCAGCTGAGTGACCAGCACCTAAGGGCAGGAACCTGCCACGTCCATCCACCTGGGTCGGGTCAGACTCAGCCATTAGCTCTGCTGCTTCCTTTTCACGTGACAGACTCAGACTCAGGGCTTAGAGGGATGAGAGGGGCGGAGGTGGCATTAGAGCTGGGGACAGAGATGAGGGAAGGACCAGTGGAGGGGACAGAGTGGGGGTCTGGGAAAGGGCAGATGAGGTGGGGAAGAGGAAAGGGAGGGAGGGGGAAGAGGGGAGGACAAGGAGGGGGAAGGAGAAGGGGGTCCTTTAGGTGAGGCCTGTGATGGGGTCTCTGTGTGTCTGCCTGGCCCCTCGGGGTGCTTGAATGTGCCTAGACCCCATGATGGATGGATCCAAGTCTATTCCCTCCACTGGCTCTCACTCCCATGGACTGGGGTGCAGTGGGGTTCCCCTCCACTGGCTCTCACTCCCATGGACTGCGGTGCAGTGGGGTGAGGTGCAGCGCCTCTTGTAGTCCAGGACAGAAGACCACTGACCCTGGTTCCTCTTCACAGTCCTACTGAGTCTCCCCTTTGTCCCACAATGCCTTTAGGTCTTCAGACACTGGAGAGTTGAACTGCGTTCTGCTGGGGCCTCGGGACTTCCCAAGAACCATCACTCTCCGGGTCTAAATAGCACTGAACCCCTGACTTGGGAGGTGCTGCTCTTGAGGGGGTCCACCACTCTGGGGGCACAGATCTGGGACCTACAGGGCATGGGCAGGAGATAGTGCTCCCCAGTGTTCCCCCACCTCCACTCCAGGATCTGTTT